AACAGAGATGCATTTGAGCAAGGTAGGACAAAAATGCATCAGGACCAAGCACTATCTGCCTGAGTGCCTACTTGCATCCCACAAGCACTATCTATATATCGAGAGGCAATGTGGCCTAATGGTTAGAATGTAAACAAATAGGAATGTAAGCTAGATGCTGCCCTTCAACCTATGCTAACCTCACATGGGGCAGGGGGCAGGGAGGGGGGAGAAGAAAGAAAAAAATATTATAGGTAGGTTTTTTTTTAGAGTTTAGGAGCCAAGAAGCACAGCTACAAACGATTATTATGCAAGTTAGGCAGAGTACAATGTGTTCCTCTTCAGTTTTTGCACCAGAAACTGCTGCCGGCAGCACAGCAGCTAAAATACATACATATGGATGTGTACAATACATATAATGGGTACATAACATCAGCCTGTTAGCAATTTTTTAAGCATTGCTAATATATCCACATATGAGATGGTACATAACATTCCATCCATTGTCACTGACAGCTTCTTCTTTTATTCCAGCGAGGCACAAAATAAAAAAAAAAACCACAAAATTTGCATCAATTATTAACCCCTCATGCATAAAAAGATTCTTTTGGGATCAGCATTCAGAATTAGAAAGAAAGAACTAATGAAATTAAATGATCAGGTTCCATATGCATTTTTCCATATGTAGATTTCCAGATCATCTGAATTTCAGCTCTGATTGCTAAACATATAGTCTGCATTTGATGGTGGTGATTATTATTTTAACCATCTACGCTACTGGGAAGCATAGTTATAATCTCTCCAGCTAGCAAAACTTGTTTTTCCCCCGCTATCATCAACCAGCCCAGCTGTCATCCATAATCTTCCTGATAATGCAGATGCTGTACTACCCCAGGAAGTGATTATTTTGTGTGAAGTTCATTGAAATCTGGCCAGAAAAACCAGTCAACAGATCTACATTCTCAAGTGATATTACAGCTTTAATTAACTTTAGACTGAAGCATTTTCTCTGGCACTTTCCTGTTTTCATAAGCTTATCAAAATGTTATTTGGCACAGCAAAATTTGAATTGCCATTCAGGCAAACAATCAGATAAACAAATAATGCTCTTCTTTTAACAATATTCAAAACATCTCTATGTCTAATTCACTCCTATGTTTAAGCTGTGCTGCTTGATTCTGAAGGCGTCACCCCAGCAATTCTTATCCCCAAGCTATTTTATCATAGCGTTCCCTCCCCAATTTTAAATCTTTTGGGATAAGACATAAGAAAATGAAATACAAGGCAGGAGATCAGAAAATGAAAGAATACCTAAGAAAATTAATGAGGGGAAGCGGACTGAACTAAATAAAACAGTGGGATGCAAGGAAATGAGAAAGCGCAAGGCTCAAGATAAGGTAGAATGCCTTTATCATCTCTGAATAGTTTCCCAGGGTTGATTATAAGATTGTACACAGTTGGGAGTAAGACTCATTGAACCCAAATGGGGCAAGGTGCAGCTGAGGAGGATGCTCTGCCAGCACTTGTGCTCTTCTCTGCTCCTCTCCCACTTTCTTCCTGTCCAAGGTGGCCCTGCCCTCTGCTTACCCCTCAGAGCTGGTATGCCACACAAGGCTAGGCCTCAACAGTAGGAGCATCTCCTTCTCCTTCTCTTCCTCCTGCTCTCCAGCAGCTGCTGCAGGACAAGCTGCCTATGGGAGGAGGTTGGCAGCAGCAGCCATGAAAAGTCAACAGGATGCTTCCTTGCAAGCACTGCCACTGTCACCATCGCTCAGGACAAACACCGGTTCATCCTCCTCCCCAAGCTTGGTGGCGCTACCACTGTGAGGAGGAAGCAAAGCCTAGAAATCAAGACTTTCCGTAATTAAGCCACATCAAGCATGTGATCTTTGCATGCAGAAGGCCTGTTTTTCAGTTTTTGGAATCTCCAAGTAGGGGCAATGCCTGTTGAGCCACTGCCAGTCACTGCAGATCGGGCCCCATGTGTGCATTAGGGGTTTTGAGAGCATGCTGTGGGCACTACCTCCTCTGGTCACTTGTCATCCATGGTTTATCTATGTGCAGTGCACACAACAAAAGTCCACACACAGATTCCTTGCTTTTCTTTAGGGTAAAATTTTAAAAAGATCTTCTTGAATTTACATGATATTACCTGGGGGTCTACCCAAAAGAAAAACCCATCAAATTAAGGCTGATCTGATACTTGCCAGTACCGCAAAAACACTGATCCAAAGCACAGTTCCTCATGGATCTTCACATGGGTAGATGACAAAGTCAACAATAAATCGCAGGACACACCTGTGGATTCAGGGGTGATCTACAGTTTGCTGATGGTTTCAAGGCGATCACGCGTAAAAAGCAAGAGGACTCCATAAGGATTTGTGCCTGGGATAAGTGGTCTCTTGCATTGCATTGTACTGATCAGGGTTTTTAAAAATAGTTTTTAATGATTCAGTCAATGGAAGCAGATGCTATCTATGATTTGACAGGGTAGGGATGGGGAAGCCATGGAAAAGTAAGCCATTTCAATAAGATCTCCCTCACTAGGTCCAAGAGGTGTGGGTGGGTGGGTTGGTGTGCGTACACACACCTGCCACCTCTTTCGTATTTTGTTTCCTATACACATAAGAATGTAAAATGTTGTCACACTCTGCAGTTTGTGTGGCTGCCAGTAAGCGTTTTGTCTTTCCCACTACTTGTAAAACAGAACAGTTTTGACAAAGCCAGCTCTATGGGGTATAGTCATAGGGACAGTGCTAACAAGCTTAGCTTGATTGGTGCAAACTGATTTCCTTTAGCACTAAAGGCTGTAAGCGACACATTCAGTCATGATCCAGCCCAATGAAGACTTTATCAAAACTCAAAAGCTTGCTTGTTTTTGGGGGGGGGGGGACAGGACTTTGGGGCTCTAAATAAAAGGCACTACCTGCCTGTTTATGGATGTACCTGCACTCTCACCACCAATTTTGAATCTGTGTGCACACAATGCCCCCCCCCCCCCGATGAAGTGCTATCCTTTAGTTTCTGGAGAATTACTGCTGTTTGATGCTTTTCCTCTCAAATGAGCTTCAATCTGAATGGAAAACCTAAGCCACATTCTCTTTGCAGTTCAGATGAGGTGTGTATATTTGAGACAGCCACCAAGCATGTGTGCATCTCTGCTTCATGAATAGGAGTTTGGGATGGTTGGGGCTGCAGGGGCAAGGAAACCAAAGACCTGACTCACGCAAGGTGACGACATTCCCACCCATTCTCTGGTACAGCAGCATACAAATATGACTGGGTATGCGGTAGGGGGAGAAATGACCTCGCTGTGTTTTAAGCCATTAATTTGTACATAGCCTGAATGTGAATATTCCCCACTGGAGCATTTTTTCATTTAGATTACACAGTGACAGTGTTCAACAGGTGCATCCTTCCAGCCTAAGTAGATGGGAATGGAGAGAGACCTGTGTACCTGGAACAAAAAAAAGACCTGCACGTTGGTGGTCGCGTGTAAATCATACACACGCAAAATAGTCGCTGCCTGTATTATAGATTTATAGATGGATGGATGGATGGATGGATGGATGAATGATAGATAGATGATAGATATAGATAGATGATAGATAGATAGATAGATAGATAGATAGATAGATAGATAGGTGATAGATGATAGATAGATGATAAATAAATAGATGAGAGATGAGAGATAGATTATAGATGATGATGATAGATAGATAGATAGATAGATAGATAGATAGATAGATAGATAGATGATAGATAGATGATAGATAGATAGATAGATAGATAGATGATAGATAGATAGATATCAGTTTTTGTGGGAAGCAGGCTCTATGCAGAGTTTAAAGTTGAATTGCAGTGATGTGACCTAGAAGCAAAGCAGCAAGGAGAGAGAGCACCATGCTGGATCTCTAGAATCCAAGGCTGCAGCTACAGGAGAAGCAGGACCTTATTGGGGTGTTATGCTGTGAAGCCATCCATCGTAAACTCAGGTTGAATATACATGTAAACAAAATATATTTCCTAAAGACACCACAGTCTCTGCTGTGCCTCATTTCCAAAAGGAAGCATAAATCCTGGGTGAGCGTCTGCAACCTCTGGAATCTTGCATCACTGGGAAATTGAGGCATACAAAATATTCTATTACATTTGTTTACTGGTGGCATGGTTTGATTTTTAAAACCAAACAAACAAACAATTCCTTTTAAAGCTTAGTTTGTGTGTGAAATATCTACTTCAACTGTCTGTGACATGGTATTTAAAAACAATGCTACAGATTAGACTAGGAGTGAGGGGCTACTCATTTTGAAAACAAAAGACAAAATGAATGCACCCCATAGATCTACTTTAAAATAAATAAATAAGATGAATGCGGAAACTAAAAGAATGAAATTGTAATGTCATGATTTTCTCCCCCATTTGCTTTTAATGCTTTCACATTGAACGGATATGTAGCATATTTTTCACATTCACAAGGTGTGGCAGGGTCAGGGGGGAGGGTATGTGAGCAAGCAGTAGATTTTGCCATGCAGTTCTCTAACCATTAAAATGCATATATTAGGGGGAAATGCATATGTTAGTGCAAAATAACATACAAAGGTGTATTATATCAGGGAAAGCAACTTGTTGAAATGTGCACATTAGACAAAAATGTGCTTATTAGGAAAGATTAGCACAAAAAAATCTGATGAATTTTAAGAAAGATTCTCTTTCTAAAGTAAAATTGCAGCAGAAATTCAGAGAACTGTATTGGAAAAATGAAACCAAGAGAAACTGAAACAGACACCTTTATCCATCTCTAAATGAAGCTGAGCTCTTGAATTGCTGTATCTAACATCTATCTATCATCTATCTATCTATCTATCTATCTATCTATCTATCTATCTATCATCTATCTATCTATCTATCTATCTATCTATCATCTATCTATATGGGAGCGGAGAGAAGGGATGTGGGTGGTTGGGGGAGATCTTGCAAGCAAAGCACTTACATTTCTAGTAGCATATTTCAAAATTATTTTACAGGAAAGAACTGATTTCCACACCTTCAACAGAAGTCTTGCCACTCCTGCTTAAGTTCCTCTGCTGCCAAGCCTGGTTATGGTTCAAAAACTTGCACACAGCTTTTCTGTACTTTTGTGACATGACGTTGTAAAGGATTGGATTCACAGAGGCTCCAAAGTAAAACAGCAGCATTGAGATGAGGTTGAAGTACTGGCTTATCTCATAGAGGACTGTGCTTCCCTGGGCGAAGAGGATTCGGCCGACGTGTAAGGGAAGCCAGCAGAGCACAAAGGCCACGACCACGACTGCTACATGAGGGTGAGAATATATTTCCGCAGGTCAATCCCAGGCACTTCCCTCTCTTTAAAATAGCCCAAAGCTTTCTGGGCAGACCTCCCTGAAGAGCCACATGCTAGTGGTGAGTGTTGCCAGAATTAGTGGGTGCAGCAAAGAATTTACTTCACCTTTGACTACTAGTCTAGTTTCTATACACAACTCCCCTCTTTATCCTCTACCCAGCAAAGCAAAAGGAATTATCAGTGTCCAAGGGCGCATTCCAGCCAGTGATAAACACTAGGGAAGTTGCTTAAGGAGATAGACAGTCAGATAGAGATGCTTTGATGCCCTGGGCTCAATGTTCTCCACCTCTGCTTTCAAAGTAGATTTTACCATCTTTGAACAAGTGAGCCTTTTAATCAATGTACTTGGTGGTACATAAAGACTGCTTTTCAACTATGGAGGTCAAATGTTTTTTTTAAAAAAATCCATTCTAAAACCAACAGTCCAGAGCAACAAACTAAAACATAGCAGTGGGAGAATTAAAGCGTATGCAAAGGCTAGCTGGAAGGAATGAACCCTGACAGGTCTCCATGGAAGACATTGGGAAAGTAGGAGACCGTTGAAATGTCATATCTAGGAGCTGTTCAAAACTTATGGGGGGCGGCTCTTTCCCCCTGACAATTTGTACTTCAGCTAGGGTTGCCACGCCAAGAGCATCCCAGGTCCTGAAATTTCATGGCCCAAACCAGGTGATGTCATGGGATGGACCTTGGAGACGGAGGTTAATTGGAAGAGTTGACCGGGACACCCCTACGCCCACCCTCAGAGTGGCTATGCAATAATTTTCTGCCAGCTCTTGTCAGGCTGAAATTTGCAAGCTGCATGCGGTTTTCTTAGCAACAACAAAAATTAAAGGCAGTCTTGCCTACCTGGAAACCAGGAAGTGCTCCAGATATTGTTGGTCCCCACCTTCCATCAGCTCCAATCAACAACACTTGGAGGACCACAGGTTATCTAGTACTGGTTCAACCTCTTTAGATCAGGGATGAAGAACCTGTGGTCCTCCATATGTTGTTGAGCTACAGTGCCTATCATTCCTGACCATTGGCTGTGCTGACCTGGGGTTAATAGGAGCTGTAACCCTACAACATCTAAAGGGCCACAGGTTCCTCATCGCTGGTCAAAAAGGACCATCCCCACCCTGTTCAAACAAGCCAAATTCCCAGTATCTGGCAAGTACAAGTGCCAATACAAGTCACATCCATTTATTGTGATTCTTCTCCCAAAGAATCCTAGGAGCTGTAGTTTACTCCTCACAGAGCTACAATTCCAAACACCATTAACAAACTACTGTTCCCAGAATTCTTCGGTGGAAGCTATGTGCTTTAAATGTATGGTGTGGATGCAGCCACATGTTGAGAACAGTCTTGTCTGATCACATTATGGAATAAACACATTACTCTTAAGGCTGTTCCTGTCTTTCTTTAACTTTGCTTTCTATGCCTCTCCTTCCACTCTGACGCATTTGAGTCATGCTCTTCACAGCGGAATGCTACTTACCTAGCATTTTGACAGTTTGTTGGTGGTGCCTCTCCCTCGTTGCAGCATGGTGCCCCTCCAGGTTCCGTGCAGTTCTCCAGAGCTTTCGACAGATCAGCCCATAGAGGAGAACTAAGCAAACCACAGGTAGGAAAAAATACAGGGTGGAGAGCCATGCCATTGTTTCTAGAAGTCCCGAACGGGCTGCTTGCTCGATGTATTTGCATTCATTGGTTTCCTCTGGGAGGCTTCCGTTGCGGTGTTCTACGCCGAAGAGAAACAGGATTGGGATGGCAGTCACCGCAGAGCAAACCCATATCAGGAGGATAATGCCTTTGACCCGCCTTTTAGTGATGGTTGCTTTGGCTTTCAAAGGGAAGCAGATTGCAAAATATCTCTCGACACTCAAGGTGGTTATGTGGAGTATGGTGCAGTAAGTGCAGGTTTCGTTGAGGTAGACATTAAACTTGCATAGGAAATTGCCAAAGATGTACGGCTTATACTTCCAGATTCTATACAAATCAGAAGGCAAGCCAAGGAAGATCAGACTGTCAGACAACGCCATGCTGGATAAATACATATTAACCGTTGTCTGCATTTCCTTGTATCGCTTAAAAATTAATATAATGGTCATGTTCCCAGTGATGCCCAAGAAGAACAAGAGGATGCAAATAATTGTCACTGGCACTAAGACAGGCATGTCAAACAAGGAAGAAGGGTCTTCATAATACTCTGTATTATTTCCAATGGAACCATTCAATGAAAAAAAATCCATTTCTGATTAATGTTGATCCCTACTTGCCTAGGGACTTGCTCACCCTCCTCCGTCAGTGCTCTTTGCTTCAAAGTGAAGTTTCCAAATGTGTTGAGAATTCCCCCATCAACAAGTTCAATCTCATTTCCGTCCAGGACTGCGGGCTGCTTATACAGACCAACAGCCTACAGAACTTGAAGAGGCAGGTGTCCAGTGTTAATCAGCCTCTGAAGCTAGAAATAGTGTTGGGATTTTAGAAAGAGATATCTGCCAGAAGCAAGAGAAGAAAAAGAAATTCAGCGTATACAGTTGAGATGTAGTTGAATTAAACAGCCCATGAAGGTCAGTTGTATGGAGGCCACCATGCGCATACATCTCCGTCCAGAACTCTGCTGCCGAAATTATTTACCTCTTTTGTCTCTCTAACCATGTGACACTCTTCCTTATATCCCTTCACTGGCTTCCCATCTGCTCCCAGATATTGTTTCTCACCTTCAAAGCCCTCTGTAGTTCATTCACCCCTCCTGCTCTCTGAAATGACTCTGCCCATTTTCTCTTGCTGCCTCTTACACCTGGAGCTGCTTCCTGGAATGCCTTCATGCAAAATGCCTCCTGTATTTCCCTGGGCTTCACCTCACATTAGTTGTATCCAGTATGGCCAATGATTGATTGTAAGAGCTGGTAAGAGTTCATACTCCAACAGCCTCTGAAGGACCACGGGTTATCCATGCCTGCTGTTTGTTTTCCTGAGCTCCTTGGAGGAAGGAACAGGATTGTTTTTAAAATGTAAGGAGCAACAATAAAAACAGCATCAAAACTATTAAGAACATATTCACAGCTTGAACAAATCACTAGAAAGGCAAACATGCACTGCTGCTGGAATGGACAAGCAAAGCCAGCAGAGTTGAGAAACATACCTTCTCCTTCTGCAAAATGTTTGCCAGGCTCTTTCATAAATTCATTGTCTGCAGCTCTTGCTTCCCCACCGCACATCACCAAAGCTTCTGCTACATTTACATTATCTGCAGCTTGGGAATAGTTGTTTGTTTGTTTTTAAAGTCACCAGCAGCAAGGAGCAAAGGCCACATCCCTTTGCCTGGTTGGGGCAGCAGCCATGCATAAAACCCTGATTAAATGCTACGTCTCTCGGGAATCAGTTGGGAAAGTTTGATCTTTTGAGTGCTTTCCTCTCCCACCCTTCATCCACCTGCCCTTCCCCTGTGGAGCATGGCAAACAAGGCAACATTTTGAAGCCATCCATCAACATCCTCTGCCATTTAAACAAGGGAACATTAAACAGCTGGGCCTACCTCTCCATTTCTCCTTAATCTATCATCTAAAGTGGAACACATTCACCATTACCTGGAAGGGACATACAGCAGTTTGATACTGCAAATCCAATTAGAATGCCCCAATCAATTATTTTTTCCAGGTTTGGCTTCAGCAAGCAAGGACAGCAAACTACGAGAGAGGCTCTTCTTTCCTGATGGACTGAGGATCCTTTGCAACAGATGCCACTGTGTGGAAAGATTTTGACCAAGTGCACTTTTAATACATTGGTCAAGAGGCCTCTTTCACTTAGCTTTTCATTTATTTGATCATTAACCAAGCCTGTCTAAACAGCTTTAATGGACACCCACTCTTTATGCAAAGCCTCATTTGCTACACCTGAAAGGTCAGCTTGACATCACACACATCCTAAAGGTTCACCTTTCATGCAGAACATCCAAGTTCCGCAAGACACGAGGAAACTGGATGGTCTATGATTTGTTTGTTTACTTATTTGCAAAAAAAGTATGTCTATACACCACCAGTACTAAGGGGGGGAATATACTGGTGATGGACAGAATACAATCAACAATCAAATACTGTACATGTATGAAAGAAGTACAAAATCCACCACAAATCTGCAGACCAGACTCTTCTTGTTTTGATGCATTAAAGAGTCCTGCTGGATCAAATCAGAGTCACAGTCACCAACCAGATGCCTACAGGAAGTCCACAAGCAGAAACCAAGTGCCACAGCAGTTTCCCCACTTGTGATGATCAGCAATGGTATCCAAAGTAGTCATTGATAGCCTTAACCTTTATGAATTTCTCCAGTCCTCTTTTAAAACCATCCAAGTTAATGGCCACTGCTACATCTCATGGGAACAAATCCCATGTTTTAATGATGTGCTGTGTGAAGCAGTATTGAATCATCCTACACTGAACTTCACTGGATGGCTTCAAGGTCCAGCATTATGAGATAAGGATAAACTGTCTCCCTAACTTTCTCCAAGAACAAAGGCAAGGAGCAAGGGGAGGGGGTAAGTTTAGCAAGGGAGAATCTTACACACCTCAAACCATTTCCCCCTTGCTAAAGTTACCCCCTCCCCTTGCTCCTTGCCACTGCCCACCCCAATTATGCTTGGCCACCCCTCTCTTCACCTTGCAGCTCACCTAAAAAAACCCCTCCTTTTAGACCTCACAATCCCTCCTTAGACCTTGTCAAAGAGCCTCTTAGACCTTGAGGGAAGCCCCAGAACGAAGCATGCTTTTTTTCTTGCAAGTGGCCGCAGCAGTGGGAAAGAACAAAGGAGAGAGATTCCCGCCCCCTTTGTTCTGCTCCTTTCTACACCACCAGCAGCAACAGCCTAATCTTCTTCATCCTCTTTTGGCAATGGGGGTAGCAGAAGCAGCAACAGTGGGACAATGGGGGGGGGGGGAGAGACTTTCTTTCTTTCTTTGTCTTCACCTGCTATGTAGCAGTGGAAGGGGGGGGGAGATAAAGGAGAGAAAGATTTGGACCTTCCCCTTTCCCCAGGGATGGAGGAAGATGGCCAGCATCTGCGCCAGCTTCTCATCATGCCACATCATCATGTTTCCTGCGTCACCTGTCTGTGACCAAGTGAACTGCAGCATGACAACTTTCTTACGTTTCAATGCATATAGGCAGTGCTTTCCCCCCTCATTTTCCTACTCATATTGAGAAACTGCCCCTCAATAAAGCCAAACTTAGATTCACAAAATGTTTAGGGGTATGCATACCCCTGCGTCCCCCGCAGAAAAAAAGCACTGCATATAGGAGGGAAAAGACCCAAATATTTCAGCCTTTCTACTGAGGAATTAGGGACGCGGGTGGCGCTGTGGGTTAAACCACAGACCCTAGGACTTGTCGATCAGAAGGTCAGTGGTTCGAATCCCCGTGACGGGGTGAGCTCCCGTTGCTTGGTCCCTGCTCCTGCCAACCTAGCAGTTCAAAAGCAAGTCAAACTGCAAGTAGATAAATAGGTACCACTCCAGCAGGAAGGTAAACGGCGTTTCCATGCGCTGCTCTGGTTCGCCAGAAGCGGCTTAGTCATGCTGGCCACATGACCCGGAAGCTGTACGTCGGCTCCCTCGGCCAATAAAGCGAGATGAGCGCCGCAACCCCAGAGTCGGTCACGACTGGACCTAATGGTCAGGGGTCCCTTTACCTTTACCTTTACTGAGGAATTACTCCACACACTTGATTGCTTTGGTTGCCCTTTTCTGAATCTAGCTGGATTACCCTCCAAGGAAAGCTTGAGTGAACCAATGAGTTCTAAGCATGCTCCTGTATGTCAGTACTTGTAGGTACCTGCCTGATGTTCGTTGGGAGCTTAGCCCTAGTCCTAACTGGAGATAACATTAACTTCAGGAGCATGCAGTACTACTGTGTCGTTCCCACTTCCCTAAGCAGTAGGAAGTTTCCGGGGCAGCTACTGCAGGATTAGTTTTTCTTGAGGTGGGCCTACTGGGGACCTATGGTATCTTTTGGAATTTGTTAATTTGGAAACATATTGAGCATGAGGGAGCAGGTGGGCATCTAGACAAAGGTCGTGTGTGAGAAGAATTAGTTCTTTCCAAAACAGGTGGCATCCACCTCCGCCACCTAACCCATTAGTTGAGTGGGAGAGCTGAAAATAATGCCAATATATTTCACATCTGGCAACCAATGCACCCCTCTGGTTTCAAATACAGTGGTACCTCACTGTAGTTAAGAACTTAATTTGTTCCGGAGGTCTGTTCTTAACCTGAGGTACCACTTTAGCTTACGGGGCCTCCCCCTGCTGCCGCGCCACCACCACACGATTTCTGTTCTCATCCTGAAGCAAAGTTCTTAACCCGAAGTACTATTTCTGGGTTAGCGTAGTCTACAACGTGAAGTGTCTGTAACCTGAGGCGTCTGTAACCCGAGGTACCACTGTAGTACAAAAGTCTAAAAACCCCAGGACAGAATTTTTCACAGCCCTCTAGTGGCTATGGTGGCTCATAACTCAGGAAGTGTATACAGTGGTACCTTATTTCTCAAGTGCCTTGGTACTCAAACAACTTGGAACCCAAACACTGCAAAGCTGGAAGTAAGTGTTCTGGTTTGCAAACGTTTTTCGGAAGCTGAACATCCTCTGTTTTGAGTGTTTTGCTTCCGTTTTGAGGGCCACATTTCCATTTTTAGTGTTACGCTGAGGTCTGTTTTTGCTATTTATTTTACATTTTTGTGGGCTCTTTTTGTTTTGTTTTTGTGACTGTATGGAGCCCAGTTCAGCTACTGATTGATTGTGTGACTGCAGTACATTGTTTATTGCTTTCATTTTATGGATCAATGGTCTCGTTAGATAGTAAAATTCATATTACATTGCTGTTTTAGGGGTTGTTTTTAAAAGTCTAGAACAGATTACGGTAATCCATTTTGCATTACTTTCTATGGGAAAGCGAACCTTGATTTTGGAATGCTTTGGTTTTGCAATGGACTTCTGGAACAGATTAAGTTTGAGAACCAAGGTACCACTGTACCCAATTCTTTCTTTCTTTCTTAAACATTTTTTATTAAAGATTTTTTGGTTTACAAAAGCATGTGCAATGTCTCTTTTCAAGTTATATTTTCTACAGATCAGTTTCACTTGTTGAGACATTAGTGTTAGATTAGGAAGAAAGGGGTGAAGAGGTGGAGGGGGCATGGTGAGTGGGGGTCAGGTCGGGTGGCAATACTTGTTTTATGTCAGTGTCGCTTGTGTGGGTTCTATTCTAACCAAACTAAGCCTCCCGATGTATATTTTGTTTCAGGAGGCGGCCTTCTCTGTGGTGACACCCTGCCTCTCAATCCCCCCCCCAATCAGGTCCACTTTCTACAAAGCTGCTGAAGAACACATCTTTTTGCCAGGCCCCATTTACTTTCTTCTTCTTCTTCTTCTTCTTCTTCTTCTTCTTCTTCTTCTTCTTCTTCTTCTTCTTCTGGAACTCTGCTTTTCATCTGGCTGTGCTATTGTGTTTTATTGAACGTGCTTCCCTTCAGTGATTTCATCTGGCTGTTTAAAATATTACACTGTTTTGAAATCTTGTTTTTCTTACTATTAAAATATGAACTCTATTTTTGTATGCTGCCTAGCCTCCAAATCATGGCTAGGCGGTGTACAAAAATAGCAATTTGGCCTGTGATTACCATCTCGTAAACCTTGCAAGCTGCTCCATGAATCTCTCTGTGTTGAAGGGGGAGGGGGGGCACACACACTATGTGTTAAATCAGGAGCCAGGACTCTTGGGCTGTCTGGTAAAGTAAAACACACAAAAAATCATTTAATAAATTCAGTCACTTTTGGCTAAATAAAGTCTGTTAAGTGGCTTGGCTAACCTTGCTTTTCTAAATTACCCCTCAATCAGGTTGCTTCTCACTCTTTCCTCTGAAAAGCACATATTCAAATCAGTGTGCATGGAAGCAAGTATGTTGGCACATGCATTATTGACTAATTGCCCTTTTGAATGTGCATCTCACTGAGCGCAAAAACAATGTTAAGCAGGCATCTGCGTGTCGGGGCATAGTTCAATCTGTTCTCTCCCCTACCCTGAAACACCAGCGGTTCTATCAGGACAGGACTTTGGGACAGGTGTCCAGGGCACACATACACACACCCCACAAAAGACTGCAGCTGGCTTCCCACATTTTGAAATAATACACATGTACCACCAAATTGCATTTTATTATTTGCAGTTGTTTATTAGGGGGGAAGAAGTTGTTTTATCATTGCATTTCACACAGTAAGACAAATTTATGTAAGTCACCTAGAGAAGTTTCATAGGCAACAAATAAATCTGATGAAGTAAAACAACAGCTCCCCATAAAACCATTAAATATAGAATCTCAAAATTATCTATCATTTTCCTGAAGCTCATCCAAGAATTGGCACAGCCAGTCACCCATTATTATATTATTCTCTTGATCTAAAATAAGCACAATATGCAGCATTTCCCTGGTTCGAAAGGTCTTCTAAAAACAAACCACTGATTAAATACTGCAGCTCCACTGCTAAAAGCCTTCTCCCCTCCTTGGGCAGAACAGCTAAGAACATGGGGAGGTGGTCTTGACAGAGAGTTGCCCCTCCGACCACAAGTTTGCAACAGGTGCTTGAGAGAGAATAACCCCCAAAAGCTGGCTACTACATGAAATAAACTGGAATAATTTAACATTTCTCAGAAAGGCACAGTGGCGGACTAGAGAATGTCCTCAAACTGCGAAAAAGCACAAAGTGATGTAGTCAGTCGGACCCGCTGGCTTCTCCCTGCTGATCCTTGACTTCTTTAATGCTGCTCTCATCGAAGTGCTCCAGGGAGGCGGCATGCTGAATAGCCAACTCAGACACCAACATGGTGGGGAGCTGGCTCTGCTCAGGGTGCAGCCAAGGCTTCACATCCATGTTGTGCTCCTGCTTCCAGGCGGGGTATTCCATGCAAGCTTTATGAAGCTTCCTCATCACCTGATCCCGCAAGCCGGGGCAGGGGTGGAGAGAAGAGAGAAGGTCAAAACACGCCCACATTGGACTTCTCTGTGTGATGAGAGCAACGGCAAGAGAATCCCACATGAACCTGGAACTGTACCACCCACCCAAAGTGCTCTGGACAGGAAGGTTCATGAACCAAGTTGGACAACTAAAAGGTACCGTGTGAGATCACCTGCCTCAAATCCCTACTCAGGACTTAAAGAGGCATCCATCCACAACACAACACAGGAATTAGAGCAATGCTCCCCCAAACCTGGGTCTCTAGCTGCTGTTGGGACTAAAATTACCATCCTCCCTGACCACTGGTCATGCTAGCTAGGGATGATGGGAACTGTAGTCCAAAAACAGCTGGAGATTATCATCCTCCCTGACCACTGGTCATGCTAGCTAGGGATGATGGGAACTGTAGTCCAAAAACAGCTGGAGACCCAAGTGTGGGAAACCCTTCCCCTAAAAATAAAGCAAGGTTCCAGTCCTTCCTGGTTCTGAACTAATGGAAGATTTAAATAAGGATGTAGAAAGCCATCTTCTACATAATCACATTGCTGGTCCATCTAAGCTCAGTATTGTAGACGATGACTGGAAGTGGCTCTCCAGCACTTTGGGCAGGCATCTTTCTACCTGGAGACACCTGGAACTGAACCTCTGAACTTTGACATGCAAATCATGTGCTCTTCTACAAATTGATGGTCTGAATGCCACTCCAGTTTGCACTGTGTGCAACCCCTGGGCTTCTGGGGTAGTTTTGCCTCCAGTCAGGTACCTGGGCAACACTGGAGAGGCAGGCTACCCTATAGCCAGGGAAATGGGCTCAGCTGCTGTCCAGGTGTGCTACACCCTTCTTACAGCAACCTTTGGCAGCACCCAAACTGTGTCACCTACAAAGTACAAAACTAAACAATACTTATTTATTTAATTTCTATGCTGCCCTATACCCGAAGGTGTGTGTAAACTGGTGATGGGCAATAAATAAAAAATCTAGTATCTTGAGACACTCAATTTCCATCTGTTCCCATCCTCCCTCCTTCTGCCAAAAAAGGAAAAGAAAGGAAGACTGTAGCCTTTTGAGTCTGCAAGAGCAAGAATTTGAAGGGTATGGGAAATGTCTCAGAAGCACACATAGAAGACCATGAGTAGGGGAAGAATATTTCCGCGCCAAATGATATAGAATTATAGCATGGTCAATAGAAGCGCGATTTGGTCTAAACCCGACCTGTTCATGGCCTATCAGATTGGAATCTTCGGCCCATTGGGTTAGTCTGGTTAGCAAGAAGCGAGTGTAGATTTTTCCGATGATTGATAATAAACTGATATTACGATAGTTTCCTGGGTCCTCTGGTGGTCCTTTTTTATATATAGGAATTATGATGGACTCCTTCCATGATGTAGGTATCTGGCCCGTGGCATTGATTGCATCAAAGATTTTTGCAAGAATTTTAGCCCACCATATTGGATGTTGTTTAATAGCTTCCGCTGGGATCAGATCGGGCCCTGGGGCTTTATCAGTTTTCAGTTTGGCAATTAAATCTACTATTTCCTCCGGGTCAGTATCTGGCCATATGGGCAAGTGACTTGAGAGAGTATCAGATTGGATGTTAGAGATGTCTGTCTGGGAGAAATATTTTCTTAGAAATTGTTCCCATGTCGGGGCTGGGATAACCGTCAATGGGTATTTCCTCGATCTTTTGTTGATTAAATTCCAAAAACCGCGAGAGCTGCGAAGCTTAGAGGCAGCAATCAGCGCTTGCCAACGTCTTAGCTGCCACTCGTGCTTGGCTGACTTCTGAGCCTGTTTGTAAGCAATTTTGGCCTGCAAGTACTCTGGGGGGAGAGTTTCAGCTCCAGAGGCTTTATATCTGTTGTAGATACAACAGAGAGAGAGTCTAGCTTGCTTACATTTGGCATCAAACCAAGGTGCACCGAACCTGGGTTGATCACGGTTAGCGAGGTGAGCCGGCATCGTAAAGAAACTAGTTAAATCTGCAGAGAAGTGGGAGAACCACTCCAGTATCCTATTTGGTTCAGACAGCACCGCCAATGAAACAATAAGGGATTCGGAGCTATTCCTCTGGAAGAATTCTGCATATTTTTGGGCCTGTTTCATGGACCATTTAATGCCTCTTACTTGAGCTGTGGCATTTAAACCTACATGAATTGGGTGTGTTCCGCTAACCGGGTGCCAGTCAAGCGTTAGCTTGGCCGCTAGAGGTAGGTGATCACTGGATTGTACATTATCTACTTTGAGATAAAAGAAATTTGAAAATAGGTCTTCTGAGACTAGAAGATAATCTAGGACACTATTTGATTTTGTGCCCAAATGAGTGAATTCACCTGGCACGTCCGGAGGGCAGTTGCCATTTAGAATGTTCAAATTCATACGAATGGCCAATTGATAAAGAAGGACTCCCGCCTCATTCACTCTGTTGTCCTTAGATCTTCTTGATGTGAAAGAGATTAAATCAGATTTTGGGTAGGGGGGAGATACCCACCACTTGGCCTTAATTATCCCATTCCGGTTGGCAGCTGTACGTGCATTGAAGTCACCACCCATTATCGATGGAATATTAGGGTACTTAACATAGCATGCCAATAAATGATCTTCCAGAGAATCCCATCTATAATGAAGGTCTGATATCAGACCACCTGGAGGAAGATAAACATTGGTGATTAATAGTGAGAATTTTTCACTTGAAATCAGACCAGTAAAAGCAAAAGGAGGAAAGGTATGAACTAGCGAGAGTTTAGCTCTCATTTTAAGCGATATGGCGATTGCAAGACCGCCTCTGGACCGGCCACCTTTCTGGGAGGGGATAGCTGGAAGTGATATCAGTTCAAAGCCATTTATATCTATTTTATCTTCTTCCCATGTTTCTTGCAAAAGGATTATCTGGAAAGAGTTTATATAGGACAGAAATTCGGGATCTAATCTTTTCCTTTTCCAGCCAGCAATGTTCCAACTTAGGACTGCTAGCTGGGGACTTCTATGTTGTTCTTTTAACAGTCAAAATGGAGGGGGCAGACTCTCTGTTAGAGACAGAAGATGTAACAAAAAGTCAGTTATTTTACTTTGGGAGGATGGTAACTGTGAGGCGCCCTGCAAATTAAAGTTTTTAACAATTTGGTTCGACTGTTGGCACACCGTGGATGATCCACTGAAAGTAGGTCTCTGAACAGGAATTCTCTTCATTTCGAAATTCTTGGTACAACTTGACAGAGAAATACCCAGGTAGGGGGAAATTGAGTCCGTCGGGGTAAACCCTCTCGCAGATTTGTCATCCGACATTCGGATTATTTTATTGATGCGTCCCATCGGGTCTTCAATCATTTCTGACGGCGGGTCCCGAGGTGTAACATTCGCAGTTTCCTTTGAAGGAGGTAATTGAGGGGGCATCACGGAGGTGGAAATTGCGGAAGACTCTCTCAGGGGCATCACTTGTGGACTACTTCTATATCTGGACGAAACCGGAGAAGATTCTAGCTCTGGCATAGATGAGTGAGTTAAAGAGGGATTTGAGTCAAGCAGGAAATCAGAATTTCGTCCTTAGATATGTTGGTTGATGAATATAGATGAAGGTTCAGTGAGGATGGCAGAGCCTGGTCGTCTCGTGATGTAGCGCACGCTGCAGAAGCAACTTGAAGATTTGAGTCTTGTCGGATGGTTTTGAATTCAGAGTGGGACTGAGCTGAAGAAGGTCAACCACTTCTGTCCGGTGGGCCCAAGTGGGATTATTTGAGACATCGTTAGTATCTTCCCTCTATGTTGGACTTGCAAAAGCTGAGATTTAAGCGTGTCAAATCTTTGCATCATCACCGACTGTTCTTTCGGAGGAAGGGCTCTGAATGAATCAATAAGTTCCCTTTCGTCGAGGGCAGTCTGCAGATTATCATCCTCATATATAGCAGTTTGAGAGGGTATCGAGTTTGGTCGCGGATGGCACGCTGCAGAGTCATCGCGATTGGGCCTGACAGTATTTTGAGGTAAGGCAGAGTCTCTTGTCCTAATGTCCTCACCGCCAGGGCACCTATTTAGAAGGGGTTTGATCTTGCTGTCTGTAAAAACCCTCGTTGCTACAATGTCGGCCATGGACAAAAGCGTTTTCCTCCTAACAATAATAGATGGTATCTTTTCAGAGTGGAACGCAAGTATCACCTTCAAGAAGTTGGTCTGCCGGGAAGGGGCATTACAGCATATAGGTCAATCTGATATTTCTTAATTTTTAAAAGTTTGCTTAAGCAGTCTTTAGCTCCTTCTAGCGTTGACCATCTTCCTATTTCCGACCTGACAGAAAGGCAACTTTTCTTGGGTTGCAAAGTTAATATCTGATTGTTCAATTGGGAATTTAAGACATATTTAGTTTTAGTCTCCAGTATTTTATCTGAATGGGGGTGAGGCAATAAGTTTTTGACCTCACAAACTGAGGATTGTGTTGTTGATTCAAGTTTTCCGATTTTCAGCAGGATATCTTTATCTTCAAGGCCATAACACGGTACAGTTAGAGATTATGCGCTGAAATATTTTAGTTGATATTTTAGATTGTAAAATGCTATTGATTTTATCTATTGATTTTTATCTATTGATTTGTTTTACCTTGTGGGCTTATAGCCGAATAAAGTATTATCTATCTATCTATCTCAGAAGCACATGCAAGAGGGTTTTTCCAGCAGTGTTCTACACAGCTCTTATCTGGTTGGCATCCTTACAACAGGAGCAGCTAACATAGTGGCTTGCAGAAGTTGTTGGGCTCCAAGCCCTATCATCTCCACCCAACATGGCCAATGGTCAGGGATAATGGGAGCTGTAGTCCAGAACATCTGGAGGCCACCATGTTGGCTAAGCCTGCCTAACATAACCTTATAAAGCAGGGGTGGTAAACCCCAGGCCTGGGGGGCCAGGCACAGTCCCTCCCCTCCAAGCCCTTGGGACTCTGCTCAGACCCTTCACCAGCCCTGATCTGTACCCTCCTTGGATGTTTTTGCATGGCTACTACTACTACTACTACTACTAATTTATTATCTGTACCCCACCCATCTGAATGAGTTGCCACTCTAGGCGGCTTCCAACATACAACTTCATAAAACATTACACATTAAAAAGCTTCCCTATACAGGGCTGCCTTCAGATGTCTTCTAAACGTTGTCTATTTGCTCATCTCCTTGACATCTGATGGGAGGGCGTTCCACAGGGTGGGCACCACTACCGAGAAGGCCCTCTGCCTGTGTTTTTGAACTTTGGTAACGCCTCTTGCTTGCCTGGATGGAGAATGCAGTGGGATTTTATGTAAACTAGCCTGCTATACAAAGCTAAAATCTGCATTCACTGCTCCACCCCCTTTGGCCTCTGAACCTGCCCACCATGGGCACCTGGTCCCCAGGCTGAAAAAGGGTCCTCCACTTCTACTTCAAAAGTGGGTCCAAATCACTATTCCTATATGGCAGTTGAAGAGCTATGGCAGAAAAACAGGGGCTTGCTTAAGACCACCTAGTGGGTTCATCAGGGTAGAGGAAACATTCAGACTGAGGACTTTCTTTAAGGAGTCTCAAAGCGGCTAATATTCTTCTTTCCCTTCCTCCCCCACAACAAACACTCTGTGAGGTGAGTGGGGCTGAGAGACTTCAGAGAAGTGTGACTGGCCCAAGGTCACCCAGCAGCTGCATGTGGAGGAGCGGAGATGCGAACCCGGTTCCCCAGATTACGAGTCTATCGCTCTTAACCACTACACAGCCTCTTAGCCCACTGTGCTCCATAACCAACAACGCAGGGGGAACCCCCCTCTCTGGGCAGAGAAAAAGGGCTTTCTGCAAATCCATCTCACTTAGTATTACACTAGCTCAACTGATGCTCCTCACAAGAGGAACCAGATCACTAGAGGCCCAAGATAGCTCAGATGGGAGAGCATGAGACTCTTAATTTCAGGGTGGTGGGTTCGAGCCCCATGGTTGGGCCAAAGATTCCTGCATTGCAAGGGGTTGGACTAGATGACCCTTGTGGTCCCTTCCAACTCTTCAGCTATGAATCTGCCTCACTCACCTGTGGTCCCAGGAATTGAACAGCTTTGTTCACAATCCACTTGGGCAGAAATCCTAGTTTGGAAAGGGGGGAGAGGCAGGAAAGATGGGGGGGAATTAATCTTGGTCACATACACAGCATACATTTAAAGCACATGCCCCCCGACAAAAAAAAAGAATCATGGGAACTGTTGTTTTCTCCTCAGAGAGGTTACAGTTCCCTTAACAATGATTCCCAGGATTATTTGATAGATGAGCGGGTACATGATTGCTGCTGACAATGGACTGCAGCAAACAAATCTCCCATAATGCAGATGTTGGAAGCTGATTTGCAGTAGATGAAAAATCATCTAGCCTGTCTAGTGTTTGCAATTCATTTTTAAACGGTTAACAGGTAACTCACATTTTATGTGAGGGTTCGGTTCTGGGGGTCCATGTGTCTATGCAAAAAAATGCCAGTTTGGAGCGCTGTTTACCTATCTCTGGGAGGCAGCAGCTAGGGCTCTGGCAGGGTCCTAGAGTCCTTCCTCCTGCTTCTGAAAGCCTAGTAAGCACTTGCAGAGCTTTGGGAAGGAGGAAAGATGGCTTTAGGACCATGCCAGGACCCTCACGCCTCCTTCACAAATCTAGCCATCTCCCTTACCCAGCTTTGGAAAGGCGTCACAAGGGCTCTGGGCTGCCAGAGCCCCTGCGCCACCTTCTGAAAGCTGGGTAAGCCTGCAATTACAGCATTGCATTGTGGGGGGAATAAATGGAGAGTGGGTTTCCTCCACTCTCTATTTGTTTATTTATTTGCGCACCCACACAAAGCTGAATTCATGTAAGTAAAATAAGTGTAGGATAGAATCATAGAATCACAAACCTGGAAGATGTGAGTTAACTGTATTTCCTACACAGAGCCTTTATTTTATTTTAATCTACTTGTTTTTTCTCACTTAACACTTTGGCCACCACTGAGAAATCAGGTTGCTCACTGTGACTAGAGAATATTCGTTCTCTTCTTCATTTTTATTCAAATTCAGCTTTAAAGAGTTATATGCCTTGTGAAGCATACATGCTTTTCATGAAGCAGGTTTGATCACAAAGCAAGAGACAGTACTTCCTTTGATCCTAAAACAGCATTTCTATCATAGTAAAGGTAAAAGGTAAAATAATACTCAAATTAATCAACAACTTTCCCACAAGGATCTTATTACTCACCTGATGACTGCAGCACAACTTACTATGACAAAGGTATTAGAAGATTCAAAATGTATATTTTGCTCTATTTTTTATTTTATTTTTTGAAATAGTTTTTATTTGATTTTACAAGTATGTTATATTATAACAATGCTACCATTCACATCCACATTTACAGATTCCTCTGAATCTCTAGACTTCCCACCTCCCCTCCATGGGTCCTTTTATTAAACCTTTTCCTGCTAATGTTTCCATCTGCTTACAGTGGTCTCCAAGATAGATTATAAAATTTTCCCATTCTTTATTGAAGTTTTGGTCTTCTTGGTTCCTGAGCTTTCCGGAACTAAGCGTCCGGAACTAGGCGGCTTAGTTTGGTCAGAATTGAGTATTCCCTTCCAGAGTCAATATGAAATACATTACTTCTGACAAAGGAGCCACCATAGTTGCTAGAGGGCCTTAAACATTTGTGTCCTAGGCTTTTTAGACTCTTCTAAAATAGTCTAAATAGTCTATAGAATGCTGACTCACCTTTAGGGTCAAGCAGTGCCAGGTAAGTCAGCTTGCAACTGTCGTGTCCAGTTGGTTGCACCAGGTATCCAGCCAAACGCGAGGCAGCCCGCACCGTGTCCTTGCGTGGAGGGTATTTCTGCACAGTAAAAAGCCAGGCAATCAGCTGATGGACCAATTCCTGGTATAGAGGCCTCCCCTTCCCCTCCTCCCTGAGACTGAGTTCCCCTCAGGTAACTAAGGGGTAGTCAACAATCAGTTTAGTGTGCCAGCCAAAGCCCATGGAAACTGCATTGTAATACACCAAAATACAGAAGTAGTAATAATATACATCAACACATCAATAACAGAAGGTAGGCTTCAAAGGACTGGACCCTAAATCCCAAGAGGCTGCCAACTTTAGCACCAACAGGTCAGTCGTGTGAAGGGTCTCAGCTCCATCATCCAGAGAACTAAGCGTTGTAATAAAGCAGAAGGCCACAGGTTCAATCTCACCAGGGTGAGCCTGGGAGAAAGCCCTGCCTGAAACCCCAAAGAGCTGCTGCTAGTAGTCATTGAGCTAAATGGAGCTAATGGTCTGACTCAGGGCTCAGCCACACTTCCATTTAACCCACTGCTTTCCCCTGGGGAAAACTCATGGTTTAGCACTGAATCAAATGATGATGCCTGCTCCGATTCACTGCAAAAGAGTGGGTTTTCCTGGGGAACGCGGAAGAGCAAACAGAAAACCACTCAAGACCTGTGCCTAAAAAGCATGGGACAAGTGGAATAAAAAATCACTTTCTAGGCAAGGGACAAGTGTGGAAGTGTGAACAAGCCCTTAGTACATGACAGTATATTCAGCCGTTGTGGGTCTCATGGCATACTTATCAAGCAGGTGGATGAAGCTCCATTTCCCTAATGAAATGCTATGGTGGGTCTCTGAGAGGAGACCCACCCCCCAATCCATTACCCACCCGAATCCCATAGTTTCCCCCCTGCTCACTTACCGGATGTTTAACAGAGAAGTTCATGATAATATAATCCTTATCCAGGATTTTCCATGATCTCAGAGTCACCACATCTCTGTTCCTCAAGGGCTTTGGGCACTTCCCTAATCCAAGCGAGATGGTAGGGAGTAGGGAGAGAAAGGCAGCTCAACATTGCATCTACAACATGCTGATCACATTCAGTTGCTAATGATTTCATCTAAATTTGTACTCATTCCTATATATTCCATTTTCCATACTCATTGTATATCATTCATAAATCTATTTCATAAGATTTCCATTTTAAATTTCTATTAAGCTTTGAATAGCAGTAAGGCGAGTGATTTGTTGCCATTGCAATTACAAGTCCCAGGCACCTTAGCTTTTTAATTAGAATGGCAGGGGGGGAAACACCCATGTCGCATAAACAAAACTGAGAGCTTAGCTTGCTTTGGCAAAGCAACACAGGGAATGTGTCAAAGGTCCAAGCAGGTTGTCTCAAGTAAAAGAGGCCTTGCACACAGATCCTATTCCCCTCATCCAAGCACAGAGCCCCCTGGAGGAAAAATTACACCACCTATGCATGAAAGGAAGGTATCAGAAGCAGGCAACATTTGCAGAAATAGAAAAGTGGGGGGCAGGAGGAAGAGGGAAGAGGAGAAGGACAAACAAGCCAAATGCCTTTTGAGGACTGAGCATACTGTACTGACTGTTGAGAGTCTGTTGGAGGGAGAGGGGAAATGGAACAGGGTATCCTGAAATCAGGCATGGCTGACTGGAAAACTGAACAGGAATTCTTTATGCTACAACTATGTGGTAACAGGTCCAGCGTATAATGGTGACCCAGAGAGTGACCAAGGCAAATGCATCTCACACACCCCTATATGTTGTGGACTATACCGCTCTATGAGCCTGAACCTTCCTTTCCACCAAGTTGTGTTGTTGTTTTTTTAGCAGTGTCCATTGCTACTCCCCAAGGCTATTTAACCTCCAGAAAGAAGGCAGCCAGGTAGCTAAGAATCAGGCACCGTCGAGGGAAGGCATTCTCTCTCTTACACAAAACAGAATACCCGTTTCAAACGCTGAGCAACTCTCAAGCCAGGGGCCTGCCTTAACACTGCCAGAATGTTTCTGATCAATCCATCTAACACAGCTCTCTTCCACCACCTTGAGTCCACAGATATTGTTGTCTCATCAGCCTATCAAGTTAGGCTGCCTGGCAATGATGAGGGTGGTAGTACTAACGAGCTAAAAGACTGAATCATGGATGGAGAACCTCAGGAGTCCCCAAAGGCCACACACGCATTCTGACTCAGCACTCTGGCTTTGCATACTTCTTTGGCTTCTTTTCTGTCCCTGAACCCAGACAGTGATTATTGCTTACCTGGATGGGATGAGGATAGAAAGGGAAGTGTGTGTGCGAAGAAACTAGCTTACCTTGTGAATTTTGCCTTTGCATTTATTTTGCCTCTGGCCTCAGCCACCACTAGCATTCAGCCCTGGGCAGGCTCTCCAGGAGGGGAATGAGTCCCTTGGGTGGAAAACGGTTTCGCAGCCCTGGACAAAGCTGTATAGTCCTCTCCATAACACTCTCATTACAACAACCTAGAGCGGCTCAGCGGATACAGTTTTGCTGCTGGCTAAGGACCGCACGGGATGTGGTTATTATCATGTAGTGTAGTGTTCCATAGATGGGGGTTTTTTTGAGAGAACAACACCAAATCAACAGCAGGTGGAAGGTAGCTGGATCATGACCACATAACATAGTTGAGGTGGATCTTTAAGCAGTAGAGGCTGGTCCATGAGACTGAATGAGGTACTGCCCCAGAGAAGGAAGGCACCCCACACCCCAGACTACTAATCCTCCCAGTGTCTTGAATTTTCATCACACATTGCTTACATACCTGCAAGATTACCTTTGCAAACCTCATAACTAGAGGGTTAATCCGTTGCAGCGGAAACAACAAAGAGAGTCTTGTGGCACCTTAATTACAGGGATAATTCACAAAGTAGGGTTGATTCGATGCCAGGATGTTTTTATAAACACTACTTTCGCAACGGTCAGTTCCATTATTTTACATACACCTAAGCGTCAGCATTATCATCCTGTTTCCATTTCCCTCTGAACTCCTCTGCTAACATTTCTCAGGCTGACATTCCACAATTCCTGATCCACATAAGTCCATGCCATCAGAAATGTACCACAAGACTTTGGCTGCTGAAGAGGTAGGAACAGGGATGGGGGACTTGTGCCTGCCCAGATGTTGTGGGATTCCCAACTCCCACCAGCCTCAGACAGTATGGTGAGTGATGGAGGAGGGTGGGTGTTTGTGGTCCTTGGAGCCAGGAACTTTAAAGCTTAGGAACCCACCAGCATTTTTTCCTGACTTTGGTACCAAATCTCATTGTGTTTGCCAGGTGTCCCCATAACTCAGTGGTGGGAAACATCAGGCCCAGATGCAAACAGTGGCCCTTTAGGCCCCTCTAACAGGCCCCCATGATTCTCCCTGGGACACACTCCTCACCCTTGTCCCTTCAACACCCCCTTGAGTGTGTTTGCATGGCTGGAATGCAATGCCTCTTCCTTGGCTGGATGGAGAAGAGGGAAGTGCAAATGTGAAGGAAGTAGCCTATTGTGCAAAGGGGAAATTTACATTTGCTCTTCCACTCCATTTTGCCCCTCATGGGCACATGACCTCTGGAAGATTGCCCAGATGGCAATGTGGGCCACACCTGCACTAGTTTGTGTGGTTTGGTGGTGGTATTGGGGTGCCCATCCTTACTTACATTCATAGTAGCTGATATCAGCATTGTCTGTGACACGAGCGATCTGATGCGTCTCAACAAGGTTTATGTCCCACAGGCTGCGGTACTCGGTGTCATGTAGGACATCATAGGCTGTCTCTGCAGAGACCCCTGCCATGTCAATCATGCCCTGCAGGTGGAAGGAAGAACACTGTCAAAACACCAGAGTAGTGAACAACCTCAGACCATGGTGTAAAATGGAACAATCTTGCCGAGTGTCTGCTTTGGGTGCGAAAGGTCACAGGTTCAATCCCTGGCCTCTCCAGGTAAGGCTGGGAATGCCTCCCATCTGAAGCCCTGGAGAGATGCTGCCATTCAGTGTAGACCATACTGAGCTTGATAGACCAACTTGGTCAGTGTTTGAATGGAATATCAACTGGGGAACTTTGCATACACCACCTTGAATCCTGTCAAGGAAGAAAGAAGGGAAATCATGCTTATATAAATAAAACCTGTTGTAGTGTTTACATGACCACTGGACCAAGGAATGAACCTTGGTTTCAGGAGGTAGAAGCTTCTCAACCTCACCTAGTCAATGAAGTCCACTCTACTGCTTGAATAGTTTGTCCAGAAATTTAGGGAAGCTGTGAAAGCTGGCGAACCCTGGGTGCAAAATGTTCTAAAGCACAGTTACCCAAATTGTGGTTTGTAGGCTTCACTCAGGTGGTCCACACTCTTTGGGATGTCTGCGAAGTACAGCAGATGCATGTGAACAGCAGCTTCTCTGTCGTTCTCATAACTAGGTAGTCTGAACTGGCTGGGATGGACCAGAAGCACACCCACCTTTCACTCGAGGAAGCTGGGCTGAAAATAGTTCCTTCACCCCTGATCTAAGTAGGCAGGCCAACATCAGAACCTCCAAACATTCAACCACATGAAGCAGCTCAGATCCAGTGCTTAATACCCGAAGCCTATCCTCCGTCATCTTCCCCCGCCTTTCACAAGGTGCATTTGGTGGGGCACAAGAGCTACAGTAGGTTTAGACAGGGCACTCATCGAATGTCTTTTTTGCCTGCCAAAAGAGGCTCAGCAGGCCTCCTGCATCTAGTTCCAGGGAGGTGGCAAAAACCTTTGTCAATCAGTAGATCTCTATCATCACAATTACAGATCTGCCACTAAATTGCAATCAAGCAAATACAAATTTCACAGTGTGCAAGAGATTATTTGGTATGAGCATCATGGCAAAGAACTAGGACATGTGTACGTGATGTTGCACATTCACAATCCCACTGGAATGAATTGTCAAGAGCTAGTGTGGCTGGTAAGAAGCTTTACTCATCTGGCTCCCAGTAAGACATGCTGATGCACACGCACACACACACACACACACACACACCACTTTTGTCTTCTGCTGCACCTGAATGAACTCACTACTATACAAATGTATGAGGTAGGCAACTATTTAAAATAAAAATACTAAATATTAAAATAGACAACTATTTTAACTGCAAAAAGATCCAAGGACTTTCTCCGTGTAAAGCACACTGTTTACAACTGAGCTATGGTCCTTTGCACTAATAGGATAATACATGCTCATTAACACATCAGATAATCATGCAATGACCAAATACTACCAGAGATGGGGGACGGGGAGAAGGCAGGAATCACCTAGCCATCCACACCCCTCACCGCCTGTCAAGTTGTTTTGTCACTCTTCATGCTAAAATTAAATCAGTGCCTAGTTTGGTGAAGAGTTGTTACCAGACTGGCTCTATCATTAGACACTAGGGCAGTGGTGGCGAACCTTTTAGAGACCAAGTGCCCAAACTGCAACCCAAAACCTACTTATTTATTGCAAAGTGCCAATCATAATAATGATTGCCTGCATGCGCACATACAAATAAATATGTCGTATTTTTCCGGTATTGGACTGCCCACCCAATACAAGGCACTTCTGCCACTATCTACTGCTTGTGGCATCAACCAATCAAACCAAACCCAGCATAGGGGGTGGGGCTGCGCAGCTGCATACCAGCAGGTTGGCGCCTGCGCAACTCCCCCCGATGCTGATGTGGTCACCGAGCACTGGGGGGGGAGCGGCTGCACACTTTGACAACACACAGCAACAGCACTGATGGGCCGAAGCCACATGTGCCAACAGAGAGGGCACCGAGTGCCCACTCTGGCACAAGTGCCATAGGTTCACCACCACTGCACTAGGGAGAGTAGGTGGTTGCTTCTGGCCACTGATCTGGCTTTGTCATGAAAAGGCAGCAAACTGTTGATTATTTTGGATGCTCTTCCCTCACCACTAGAAGGTCAAAAGTCAATGGCCAATCAGGCATCACCTCCAAAGAGGAAGTGCATTTGCTAAAGTGGACATCAATTTGCATAATATTTGCATAAGTTCATGTATATGTATTAAGAAGAACCCCCTGGATCAGGCCAAAGGTACATGTAGCACACCATCTTGGTCCCACAACGGCCAACCAGATGCCTCAATGCGGTGCCCAAAAGCAATTTGTGGAGCCTACCTCACAGGGTTGTTGTGTGGATTAAAAAAAAGTTAGTCATGTATACATGCACCCACTGGACCCATTTATCTTCTGGCCACGTCTGGTCCAGTGGGTGCATGTATACATGACTAACTTTTTTGTTAATCCACACAGCAACCCTGTGAGGTAGGCTCCACAAATTGTTGAAAGAGCCACCAAGCTCAAGCAGAGAGAGAAGAACAAACCTGTGGTCACCAAATGGGTGTTTTAGGGGTGTGTGGAGAGATTTTAACCAGATCTGCCTGGTCTTCATCTGACATTTTAACTTGGGCAGGCAAGAGAGTGGGAAGCAGATATCTTTTATACACTATGGTCCATACTAATTTCCAGCAACCTTCTGGGGGCTGCATGCCAGAAGCAAAAGGGGGCAGCTTTCCTTTGCACAGTGAAAGTCAGAAGTTTTTACATCCATTTAATGTAAATGCAAGAGGCATTATTGCAAGCAAGAGGCATTATTGCCGATCAATGACAGGTTCCAGTCAGGAAACAAAAGACAGATGTAGGGGGTATGGCCTGGAAAAAGTCTGGGGGCCATATACAGAGGTATTGAGGGCCACATTTTACCCCGTTTCCCTACCATGTCCCCTTCTAGCTGGCTCTTGGGAAAAGTGTGAGAAGCCAACTATTTCCTATTTCCCATCCTTCAAATGCATTAAACCAGAGCCCAGCGCTAGTCTGGCATGGGTGCTTTGTAAATCACTGAGTCATTCTCCAACTTCTTCATTGGCTAGCAAATTAACAACCAAACTGAACGTGGGGAGTAACTGTTACATTCTCCACCAATTATTTGAAAAGCTCTTTGGTCTGACATCCCATGTAAAGGAGGTTTCCTGTTGTTGTCACCCAGTTAAAAATGAGAAAGAGACAAACAATGACATCATGGAAGTGGGCAGCCTTTTTTATCTTTTTTCTTTTGGGCTCCATGGTCATCCTGCCATTTCCTGTTTTCTGAGTTACACTTGTTCATTCTACTTGGCCTACCTTCCCCAGTGCACACCACACAATGTTCACCACAGGCATGAAAATTGTCCTATGATCACTGTAGCTGCCTGCCTGAACACAACAGGCCCTGAAGGAATGCACTTCCAACTGTGAGGCAGTATGGTGTAGTGGTTAGAGTGTCAGACTAGGACATGAGAGACCAGGGTTCAAATCCTCACTCAGCCATGACGCTCACTGGGTGATCATGGCCCAACCATTGTCTCTCAGCCTAACCTACCTCACAGGGTTGTTGTGAGGGTGAAATGAGGAGCAGAAGAACCATATACACCACCTTGAGATCTTCAGAACATAAAGGTGTCATATAAACATAATAAATAAATAAATACATTTGAAAAATGCACAAGCTCAATAGGACTGGAATCTGACACTAGTGCTCAAAAAAGCTCAGGGCATTTGCTGTGAGTGGGATGAAGTTCAGCAGATATTCTATAATACACTCTCTCTTCTGGTCTTCTAAAAATCAAGAGGAGGACTTCTACCAAAGTGTTCTCTAACTGTGAAAGGAGCCAGATGTCTACACCTTTCAGCCTAACTACTTCACAGGGCTGTTTGTGAGGATGGAAGGAGAAGGGGGAGCAGCCATCCTTTAAAAAGCAGGGATGGGAAACTGTGGCCCTCCAGATATTGTTGGACCAGAACTTCCACCAACCCAGGTCATGCTGGATGGGAGTCCAACAAACCTGGAGGGTTACAGACTCCCCACCTCTGCTTTAAAAGGGCAGCAGGGTTAAAATGCAACAACCAAAAGTTCCATATCACAATTCCAGCAGGCTGAATGTTGCAAGGGAGCACACACTCAGCCAGAGGCACCAGCTCCAGGGGGGCAAGCCGTTTGGGGGCCTCACTATGTTTTGGGGGGTTGGGCTGGTGAGGGCCACTGTCCAAAAAGAGCAAAGGCTCCTCCTCCTCTGAGTGCAGAGTCGCCCTCGTAAGATGGCACCTCTGCACTCAGCTAAACTCATTTTACTGCTGCTTCATGAGTCCAGTGCAAATTAAGTCCTAGATACAAGACATTAAGTGATCTTCAGTACACACCCTTGGGACAATCTCCCTAAAAAACATGAAAACAGCCTGTAGGATCAGGCCAATAGGCCAGCATCCTGTTCTCACAGTGACCCAACGGATTCCTTTGGGAAGCACAAAAGCAGACCATGCATGAATCACTGGCTTGGGTCCTACCCTCCAGGGCAGCAGAAAGCAAACCAGCTTCTATATAACAGTCCTTCAAATATTTGATGCTATTACATCACTTCTCCAAGCTAAGCATACCCAAGTCTTACTTTCTCTTCTATGGACTTGGGTCTCCAAGCCACACTTCGTTTTGCCCTTCATACGAACCTTTCAAAGTTTACAATGGAATTACTGCAGATCCAAGAGATTAGGGTTGTACATGGCCTCTCTGGGATCTGAGTAAGGGCCCAATCCAGCCTGGAACTGATCTGGGGGCCATGCAAAGTCAAGTGGAGATGGGGAAGAAGTACCACCCCCCCACACACACACTGTATGCTTAGTCAGGGTTTTAAACCACGTGTAAGCATCTGGCCAGGGAGGGAAGGCAAGGCATGCAGGTCATAGCTGCCAACTTTTCCCTTTTCTTGCGAGGAATCCTATTTGGAATAAGGGAATTTCCCTTTTAAAAAGAGAAACGTTGGCAGCTATGATGCAGGCTACTTGTGTGTGTCCTTCTCCCCCTCCTCCCTGCCACCAAACCTCTTGTGACAACCCCAGATCACTCCAGGTGGACCCAATTCAGTTTGGTTTCCTACTGAATTTAGTGCACAGCCCTACATGGAAGGCAAAAGCTGAATTAAGCAGCACTTGTGAAAATTGCTATTCTCCTAGAAGAGCAAACAGTGGCGCATCAGTGCATCAGCACATCAGCTACTGGGCTGATGTATCTTTGACACTTGGGCAAGACGTCATGAAACATTGGCATTATTATTGTTTAGTCTCTGCCCGTTATTACATATGTAAGAGAAGGCAGCTTTCGCAAGCTATGCTAAAGTTCATCGCATCCTGCAATTCAGTTATCAGCTAGCTACGCAGGCAGCAGTTGGATTATACATCCTAACTGAAAAATAGTTCCAATCAAGCTTAGCCCCTACCAAGTTTTCTGCCATATTAAACAGCATTCCAGACCCCTCATCTCCATCAATCCCAGATACCAGCCTTCATTTCACTCTTTGATTAACACCTTTTGGATACACTCTCTCTGCCTGTGAACAAAGCTGCATACAGGAAGGGTACACAATTTATTTCTTACCAAGGGAGTTGTGTTTCCCTGTTTGTCCCTCCTGAATGCCTGCAAAAAGGTACTGTTTTGTCGAGCCTTTTTCAGATGTCAGTGATGTTGGCTGCTGCTAACTGTGCTGCTGAAGTTCTTTCCTGCTGGTGTTGGATGTTGCTTTGTGTATTTTTATGGGGTTTGTTACCTGGGCTCTTAAATATGTTGTACATTGCCCAGAGTCTTCTTTTTTTAATCTTTAACAAGAGAGTACCCAGTTTTAAAAATAATAATACGTATGTGGTTCTCCTCCCTGCCCCCACTTTAACACAACAAAATTCCTGTGATGCAACAGGTGAGCTTCATGGCCAGGTGGAGACTTGAACCAGTCCAACACTAACCCAAGACCGCATACCCCTGGCCTTCCAGATGTCGCTGGGCTCCAGCTTTCATCACCCCAGCTAACCAATGATCCAGGATGATGGAGTCCAGAACATCTGGAAGGTCACAAGTTTTCCATCCTTGTTGTTACCATGTACAGTGGTACCACGGGTTAAGTACTTAATTCGTTCCGGAGGTCTGTTCTTAACCTGAAACTGTTCTTAACCTGAAGCACCACTTTAGCTAATGGGGCCTCCTGCTGCTGCTGTGCTGCCGGAGCACGATTTCTGTTCTCATCCTGAAGCAAAGTTCTTAACCTGAAGCACTATTTCTGGGTTAGCGGAGTCTGTAACCTGAAGGGTATGTAACCTGAAGCATATGTAAGCCGAGGTACCACTGTATGCAAACTGCAAGCTAGGTGACCTCAGGCCCTGGCCGCACACTCTTCTTCCCAGGGCTGCCCCCCTCACTGGCCACACTTCACATCCTGGGTGTTTCCTGCATGAATGGGGTGTGCCTTGGAATTGAGATGATGGTGCCTCTTGGTTGTGTGAATGGAGAACAGAGAAAGCAATGTGAGCGTGTGTCTAGAAACTATTCTACAGTACCATTGCTCTACCCACTTTTGCCTCTGCCTTCACCTGGAACTGGTATGTGGACCTCAAAAGTTTCCTGGGTTGAAAAAGATTCCCCACTCTTGACCAGCTCTCAAATGGCGACACATCCTCAGAGTCAACTCCTGAACCCAAATAACTCCCAGGAACTTTGGGAAACGCCTGTGGCATTCAACAGACAGTGCTGCAAAAGCTTATGTACATTTAAGCATTCTATGACTTTAATCAAGACTCAGTCACTTTTCAGCCCTGCTGAATTAAGGACATGTTTTCATTACTTTTTAAAGTAATGATTTATAGCCTGTTCCCCCTCCCCCCTCCCAGCATGCATTTAAACAAAAGACGACGCAGAAAAAGCTACAAGGAAAGTGCATACATATAGAACTACTGCCAATAAAAAATAAAATAAATAAAGCTTAATAAATATCTGGGGGTTGGGCTAGATGACCCTCATGGTCCCTTCCAACTCAGTAAGTCTGTGATTCTGTGAAATGTGTCCACAAGGGAAATGTGTCCCTTCTTCTGCAGGGAGAAATCACCAAAGGCCAAAGAAACGAAGTTTCTTTTGTTGCAACCAGTAAAAACCTAAGAGTACTTAATCTTGACTGGATCAAGCCCTTCCCCACCTGCTTTACTTGCTCCAAACCCAGAAAATTTGTCCACTTAACTCAATGTTGTCCACACTGATGAGCAGCGAGTTGCCAGAGTTTCTAGAGATGCTGAGCATTGAACCTAAAACCAGTGGTTTTTTTCTGGGGGTACGCAGGGACATGAATACCCCTAAACATTTTGTGAACCTAACTTTGGCCTCATTGAGGGGCATTATTTCAATACGAGAAGGAAAATAAGAGTACCCCTAAACATTTTATTAGGAAAAAAAAGCACTGCCTAAAACCTTCTGCATGCAAAGCAAATTCTCTACCATTGAACTGTGGCTCTTCCCTACTAGAATTTTGGTTGCTGGTCTACACCCAAATTATAACAGACTTACAGAAGAATTAAAATATATTTACCAACGAACCTGGAGCCTCAAGTGAGGCTGTGTAAACACCATACATTCAAACCACACTTCCCCCACCTTCAAAGTAATTCCGGGAACTGTAGTTTGTTAAGGGTGCTGGGAGCTGCGGCTTTGGGAAGGGTAAATTACAATTCCTGGGATTCTAGAGTTTTCGTTTTGAGACGGGTGGAGTGTGCTTTAAATAAATTGTGGGAAGTAGTTTGTGCAAAAGGGCTCAACTAGATACCACGCAAATTGCTTTTTTTTTTTTTTTTGTGGTGGTGCGGAGGAGCTCCGTAGGGAGAAATTTAACTATTTCCTCCCTGCTGCAGGTCAATCACACTTCTAAGGCTTTGGACATTTCATATATAAATCAAAATTGCACCTCCGAAACTCCTTCTTCCCAATTCTAAAAAAGTGCAAGAACCCCGTATTTAAAAACTTCTCTTTCTCTCTCTCTCTCTCTCTCTCTCTCTCTCTCTCTCTCTCTCTCTGCACCGGCCAGCACCCGCCGGCCAATGCGCACCTCTTTCCCGACGGTCCGTAGCCACGTATTTTAACATTCACATGAGGCGCAGAGATTGCACCCCCGAAACTCCTTCTTCCCAATTCTTAAAAGGTGCAAGAACCACGCACTAAAAAAGTTTTCTCTCTCTCTCTCTCTCTCTCTCTCTGCACCGGGCCAGCACCCGCCGGCCAATGCGCACCTCTTTCCCGACGGTCCGCAGCCACGTATTTTAACATTCACATGTGGCGCAGAGATTGCACCCCCGAAACTCCTTCTTCCCAATTCTTAAAAGGTGCAAGAACCCCGTACTAAAAAACTTTTCTCTCTCTCTGGACCGGGCCAACACCCGCCGGCCAATGCTCACCTCTTTCCCGACGGTCAGCAGCCACGTATTTTAACATTCACATGTGGCGCAGAGATTGCACCCCCGAAACTCCTTCTTCCCAATTCTTAAAAGGTGCAAGAACCCCGCACTAAAAAACTTCTCTCTCTCTCTCTCTCTCTGCACGGGGCCAGCACCCGCCGGCCAATGCGCACCTCTTTCCCGACGGTCCGCAGCCACGTATTTTAACATTCACATGTGGCGCAGAGATTGCACCTCCGAAACTCCTTCTTCCCAATTCTTAAAAGGTGCAAGAACCCCGCACTAAAAAACTTCTCTCTCTCTCTCTCTCTCTCTCTCTCTGCACCGGGCCAGCACCCGCCGGCCAATGCTCACCTCTTTCCCGACGGTCCGCAGCCACGTATTTTAACATTCACATGTGGCGCAGAGATTGCACCCCCGAAACTCCTTCCCAATTCTTAAAAGGTGCAAGAACCCCGCACTAAAAACTTCTCTCTCTCTCTCTCTGCACCGGGCCAGCACCCGCCGGCCAATGCGCACCTCTTTCCCGACGGTCCGCAGCCACGTATTTTAACATTCACATGTGGCGCAGAGATTGCACCCCCGAAACCCCTTCTTCCCAATTCTTAAAAGGTGCAAGAACCACGCACTAAAAAACTTCTCTCTCTCTCTCTCTCTCTCTCTCTCTCTCTCTCTGCAAGGGGCCAGCACCCGCCGGCCAATGCGCACCTCTTTCCCGACGGTCCGCAGCCACGTATTTTAACATTCACATGCGGCGCAGAGATTGCACCCCCGAAACTCCTTCTTCCCAATTCTTAAAAGGTGCAAGAACCCCGCACTAAAAAACTTCTCTCTCTCTCTCTCTGCACCGGGCCAGCACCCGCCGGCCAATGCGCACCTCTTTCCCGACGGTCCGCAGCCACGTATTTTAACATTCACATGCGGCGCAGAGATTGCACCCCCGAAACTCCTTCTTCCCAATTCTTAAAAGGTGCAAGAACCCCGCACTAAAAACTTTTTTCTCTCTCTCTCTCTGCACCGGGCCAGCACCTGCCGGCCATTGCACACCTCTTTCCCGACGGTCCGCAGCCACGTATTTTAAACATTCACATGTGGCGCAGAGAGGTAGAAGAGGGGCAGGGGAGAGAGAGAAAAGAACTCCACTCCCGGGACCAGGAGCCTCCGTCCGCTCCCTGTCCCGAATCGTTCCTTCCATACCCAATTCCGTGTCCACCCTACCTTGAGGCGGTACACCGCCAGGTCCGCATGAGGAACCACCTGCTCCCAGACGGAGACCCCAGAGCGGTCGTACCAGCTCAGCCACCCGTCTTGCGACTCGCATTCCGCCACGAAATCCCGAAAGGCTGCATCGTCCGGGAGGGTCACGGGCTCCATCCTGCCTAAACAGAACGGGAAAAAAGAACAGGTGGCGGCGGTGGCGCGGCAGGTATGGGTCCCCCCATCCCAGCTAAGCCAAGGTCCCTCCCGGCTCCCCGCTCCCCTTTCCCCCTCCACTCACCTGCGTTCACAATGGTCAAACGTTACTACTGCGCCTCCGGCAAGTGCGTCCCGTCCAGAAGTCGTCGCGAGCAAAGTCACGGCAAGAAAGAGAAGAATCCTCGGAGTCGCGGGTATGTGAGCGGCTCTAAATTGCTTTTCGCGGGCGCTGATTGGCCGGGGCCGGCAACCGGTCCCCTTTCCCAACGCTGCTATTGGACGAAGGTGGCCGGCTTGCTCGGAGCGCTCCGTGTCCAGCTAGCGATTGGCGAAGTTGGGTCAGCTTGTTTAGACTACTTGTTTTATTTATTTAACTTTTAATCGGCACCGTTTTATTGCATTTTTGCAGCCGAGGCCTTGGAGCGTCAAACAAGCTGACTTGTCCAGAGAGGAAGAGGAGGAGGGGGGAGAGAAAATATGAATAAGGGGGAAAGGCAGCAGCGCAGCGAAATCTAACACAAAACTCTTAAAAGTGCGGTGAAGAGCTTTAAAATGGGGGTGGGGGATGGGAATAATCGTTTACATTATTCAAAAAAACACACAAAAATGCCAGCACGCACCACCCCTCAATAAATTCGTTTCCTTCGTTATCATTAGTCTATGCTTAGGATAATATTTTATTCTCTTTTTAACTACGCTGTTTTAAATGTGTATTTTATATTTGACTTCACTTAGCAGTTTTGGGGGGTTTTTTGGAAATGTTTAAGATTTTTGTTGTTAACTTTGTGTTAAATATGTATTCTGTAGTTGACCTTCTTTGTAACGTTTTATTTTGAAATCTTTAAGCTAATACTTTAGTTTTCTATTAATTACGTTTCTTTGACTGTATACTCTATATTTGACTTTCTTCAGAAATGTTTGATTCTGGACTGTTTTATTGATGTTTTAATATGCTGTATACCGCTTTGAAACTTTTCTTAAAAATATAAAGCGGTATAGAAATGAAATTAATAATAAATAAATAAATATTTGTTGAATTTGCCAGTAGCTTTACTTTGCTCTGGGCAATCCAAAGTGATTTACAACTCAACAAACAGGCGATAAACCCCTAGACAGATGCATTGAAACCAAGAGGAAAAAGAAATACATTAAAAGCGTGCATGCACACGCACACGCACACACGTCTAAAAGGCAACGGGTAGTTAAAGGCTCAAGACCTGGTTATATTGGAAAGTTTTTGCCTGGGACCTAAATATATGCAAGGAAGGCATCAGAAGTGTTTCCCTTGGGAGAGCATTCTGCAAGTAGAGCGGCCTGAGGTGATGATCACATGTCTGGGTTGGGTCACATGGGAAGAGGTAAAATTTTATCATTGTGTATTGGGTTTCTCCCATGTAAATTTTATCATCAAGATAGCTCACCAGGTTCTCTTTAACCAATCAGTTATGCTGGGGGAGGGTCCTTCATTTTTCCATTTTCTTGCAATATACTGTTTTGCCACTGTTAGCAGTGTACTAATCAGCTGTATCAAAAACAGAGCCGTTTTAGGATTTCTTGGAAGATTGTAGCCTGTACCTGTTTGTATGAGTACTTCTGTCCTGAAAGATGTGTGTGTGTGTGTGTGTGTGTGTGTGTGTGTGTGTGTGTGTTTACAACTCCAGCAGATATGTACTAATCTATCTTAATTCTGCTATACCTCCAACAATGCATGTTTCAGCCAAAGATATCACTAATTTTGTGCAGAACTAAGTACCATTGGAAATTTGTCTTAAGATAATTCTCCTTCAGGCTCACACTAATAAATTTTTCTCCAGTATTTTTTAAATGCCCATGTCCATTCTGTTTCAAAGATTGTTGACCCAATATTTGCTAAGTCCTGTTCAAATGAAAGACAGGGAGATAATTTTGCATTTATCAAAAATATTAAATAGATATTTGTTATTACTTAAGTTTTATAATTTTGCTCAAAAGTCTTTAATGTGGTAACCTGATTATTTAGCTTTGAACTGTTATCCTATACGTCTCAGTTGGAAAAGAATTATAGTGGGCATACATGATTATTATTGCTGCCTGTTCATATGAAATAATTTGATGCTGGCACAAATCTTTTTTTTTTTAAATGATATTTATTAAAGTTTCAAAAAATACAAGAAATACAGAATACAGAAAAAAGAATAAAGTTTTTGAAATATAACAAAAAAGTAAAAAATAAAAAGAAACATACAAAATAAAACAGTTAAAAAAAACATTAATTTTCCATAACCTATCTTCCCTACACTTATTTCCCCGGACCTCCTCGTACCTCCCTTTTTGGTATTCCAGTTCAGTTTGTTAGTTCAGCAAATCCTTACCATTAAGCTTTTACCCAATTGTAAACCTTTTTTCATATCTCTTAAAGCATTACAGCTAAAAACCTCTTAGTTTCTATCCAACATCCTTCTAACATTCATTAATTTTACAGTATTTCTGTAAATAGTCTTTAAATTTCTTCCGATGCTGGCACAAATCAGCTGCTATAGTTTAACAAATTGTTCAACTTTTTAAAAAACATACATTGTCAGAATTGGTTGTCTGCAAAACCATTTCCAAGGTCCCTGGAGAAAATGCTGGAAATACTATTTTTGAATAAAGACACCATAGAAATATCTTATATTTTAACCTACCCAAGAAAGTTGTAGGGTCTGCCACTTTTTAGTATCTTCATCTTTTTGTGTGCTTATGTTTCTGCAGTTATGACTGACAGTTGTTTGTGAATCTGGGTCCTAAGTACTCTGTTGGGCTATTTTTAAATTGAAACCCAAAATCTTTGTAGAAGGTATTTATCAATTGAGTTGCCAATATTTATTCCGAAACCAATTGATTTAGTAGTATGGATCTTGTAACCGGATGCTTTCCCAAAGGCCATGTTTTTTTGTATTGATGTTTCTGGTTTTGTAAAAGATACAGTGGTACGTCAGATTAAGTACTTAATTCATTCCGGAGGTCCGTTCTTAACCTGAAACTGTTCTTAACCTGAAGCACCACTTTAGCTAATGGGGCCTCCTGCTGCTGCCGCGCCGCCGGAGCACGATTTCTGTTCTTATCCTGAAGCAAAGTTCTTAACCTGAAGCACTATTTCTGGGTTAGCAGAGTCTGTAACCTGAAGCGTATGTAACCTGAAGCGTATGTAACCCGAGGTACCACTGTAATGCTATTATCGTCTGCATACAGTGAAATTTTAAATTCTTGCAAGCCAAAGTTAATTCCATTGGTCATAACAAACGTTCTAATGGGACTAAAAAATTGAGAACAAAGCAGAGATAATGTGGACCCTTGGCATCTGCTATGCTGGATTCTTAATGGCACTGATAATTATTTGTTAACAAAAACATTTGCTGTTGAGTCCTTATATGGGAAATCAATCCATCCTTTACATCTCCAACTGAGATTCTTATCTTGAAGAGTTCTTGCTATAAAAGGCTTTTCTGCCCTTTCAAAAAAAAAAGTGAGTTGAGGTGAGGGGCACCAAAGCCCCCCTTTCTTCATGAAATGTACCCACCCACCCCAAATTTAAGCAAAAGTACTGTATTTTTCGCCCCATAGGGCGCACCGGCCCATAGGGCACACCTAGTTTTTTTGGGGGGGGGGAAATAAAGGAAATTTTTTTTTATTTCCCCCCCAGGCGCGCGGCTGGGGCAGGGGAAGCCCGAGCTTCCCCTGAACTCAGCCTCCAGAACAGGCATCTCTCCGCAAGCTGTGGGAGCCCAGCGCAACTTTGCGCCGGGCTCCCACGGCTTGCGGAGAGCTGCACGAAGCCCGGGGCGTGCTCCACTTTCTGCCCTGGGTTTCAGGATGAAGGCTGCTATATGCAAGCCTAGGGAGCCCGGCGGGAACTCCCGCGGGCTCCCCAGGCTTGTAGATAGCTTCCTGAACCCTGGAGAGGGAGAGGGGTCGGGGCGCACCGACCCCTCTCGCTCTCCAAGCTTCAGCAAAAGCCTGCATTCGCCCCATAGGACGCACACACATTTCCCCTTCATTTTTGGAGGGTAAAAGTGCGTCCTATAGGGCGACAAATACGGTAAACATTTGCATTTATCAGTTTCGCGGGACTTAACCCTGCTACTTTTACTTCTTTAAGCTCCTCTTAAACGTAAAGGGACCACTGACCATTAGGTCCAGTCGTGACCGACTCTGGGGTTGCGGCGCTCATCTCGCTTTATTGGCCGAAGGAGCCGGCGTACGGCTTCCGGGTCATGTGGCCAGCATGACTTACTCGCTTCTGGCAAACCAGAGCAGCGCACCGAAACGCCGTTTACCTTTCCGCTGGAGCGGTACCTATTTATCTACTTGCACTTTGATGTGCTTTCGAAATGCTAGGTTGGCAGGAGCAGGGACCGAGCAACGGGAGCTCTCCCTGTCACGGGGATTCGAACCGCTGACCTTCTGATCGGCAAGTCCTAGGCTCTGTGGTTTAACCCACAGCGCCACCCACGTCCCTAAGCCCCCATTACCCAACTACAAAATACAGATGCTTGTTTGTTCCATGAAAATGGGGTGCAGGTGAGAGAAAAAAGAGAGAATGCAAAGAAAATTTATCCCTAGAACATGCAATAAAGTCTTGTGGCACCCTCGCAACCAAACTTTCATTATTGTATAACTTTTTAAGTGGACAAGAGGCCGTCAAATGCAACATTATTGTTATCAGAGGGAAGCTCTATTTTGTAAAAGGTTTACCATGAAACTAAGATCTGACTCTTTCCCATCCTTTATCATTTATGAAGTGAACTGAATAACACTAAGAGGACTTGGAATTTAATCACATCATCAAATATAGCATGCAGGGGGCACTTTATCTAAATTATATAATTCGGTATTTGAATGATTGGTATTAATAATTGCATTATGAATTGGTATTGTTGTAATAAGGCTATTATTATAGGGACGCGGGTGGCGCTGTGGGTTAAACCACAGAGCCTTGG